GAGAGATTCATGCTCCACTAGTAAAGACTCTCAGAGTGTGGGTTATTAATGAGAGCATGTCCTAACAACATTACAGAGCTGCTGCCTCACAGAGGAGAGACGGAACCAGGACAGGGAGCAGGAGGACAGAGGCACCGAGACAAAAAAAAAAAAACGTGGGAGAGAAAAAAGTACAAGGAAAGAATAAAAGAAAGGTAGATGAAAGCAAATGGAAAAGGGAGCAGGAAGCAGGAACACAGGGGAGAGTAATTGAAGGAGTAGGCAATGGACAGAAGCAAGAGGCAGAAGGGACGCTTTGAAGGTACAAGGGACACAGAATTAATGGATCTCACTGGGAACTCCAGGAAACTATGGATGTTAAACGTTGTTCTGACTGTGTGTCCTAAATGGATATACAGCATCAATTTGTGCAACTTTTCCTTTTCAGCGTCTTTGCAAGGCATTGATGTACTTTTGGTCTGAACCAACGTCATAGTAGGTCTGGTTGAAAATTCAAAAGTGACAACTCCTGGTTTTTGTAGCCTCTGAAAGAGATTATTTTTCAGAATTACTTTTGTTAACATGCATCCTTTTTACTATCAAAACAAGAAAATGATAACAAAAGCTTTAGACTGCTACAACCATCACAAACATGGTGTGGATCAATTTTCCTTTTTTTTTTATAAGTGTGTGCTGTTTGTTCACTAATGTTCTCTGAGGCCTTAATGTTGCATTAATAACAAGATTAAAATAGAAACAGGATGTGTCCTAATTAGACAACACAAGAGGCTATTTGTTGCATCATTTCCATTTATGGATATCAGAGTAGATTCCCCTGAATGCAAATGCACACCAAACTTTTCAGGTTTTTATTTTTATTTCCTTCTAATTCACACTTTTTCCACTCTCAGATTTTGTTTCTATCTAAAAAAAAAAAAACCTCTAAATAATATGCATAGAGGTCTGTTGCTGTAATCAGAAAAGATGTGGTCGTCCAGCATTATTTGGGGAAGCATTGTAAAATGAAAATTAGTTAATAAGTACAGTTATTTCATTCATTTATTAATTTATTTTCCTTCGAATATGTCCTCTCAGCATGATTAAATATTGAACAAAAAAAATCTAGGAGCCTGCAACAGAACTGGAGTCATTTAAAAATTAAAATCTGTAATCCAATTAAAACTGTAACAAGCAGTTTCCGCTCTAATGTTGGAAGTCGTCATCCTAATCTTTTGACATGTATGAACATAATTTTATTCTGACTAAAATGAGTCGCTGTTACTTGCTAGTACATGTTGTGTGTATACTTCAAAAGGATCTGCACTGGGCTCCGAGAGAACTGTAATGAAAAGAAAAAGATCAAGGGGAACAGAGAAACTGAGACGAGGAGAGGAACAGATGAATGCAAAAGTTAGTGGGGAAAAAAGTGGATAAACATTAAAAAAAAAAGATGAGAGGACGCAGTAACAGATGAGGAAACTGGGCGGGGCTGAAGCTAGCATGAGAAGAAAGAAGGAAATAGATTCAATGAATAAAGAGCCTTAGAAGGCAAGAAATGCAGAGAAAGAAAGGGAAAAGAAAGAAAGAAAGAAAGAAAAGAAAGAAAGAAAGAAAGAAAGAAAAGAAAGAAAGAAAGAAAGAAAGAAAGAAAGAAAGAAAGAAAGAAAGAAAGAAAGAAAGCAAGAAAGAAGAAAGAAAGAAAGAAAGAAAGGAAGAAAGAAAGAAAGGAGAGAGCACAGATGATGGTAACAAGACGTCTCTGTTGAAGTTTTAAACGATTGGATCAGATTTTTCCAGTAACTAAAGTTTGTAACCTTTGTAATGCACTAGCTCGATTTTTGAAACGGTGACCCTCAGCCACCTTTAGGGAATTTCTCTTCAACATCGGAGCTTCCTGCATCTGTCTGGAATAGCTACTTACTTTGAACTCAGAAACTGAGGGGAAAAAATTTTTTGCCGACGGCTAAAACACACGCCAGAGGGTTGCAGGGTTTCACTCAGAGTAGATCGCTTCGTATAATGAACTATTCCACGGTTGTTCATTGCAGCTGCAGTTTTCAGAGGTCGGTCAGACCTTGTGACTGGATCAGATCCTGCACTTTTGTTCCTGAGAGGTTCGTCAGAGTTCAGTCCAGTCTGTGTCCTTCAACGCAATAATGCTTCTCTGCAACTAAAGAGCTTCAAGGAAAGAAGCTGTCATAAGGGAATGATTTTAGCTATGACAACAATTTGTAAGAGCAGAAAACGAGATCATTTCGAGGAACCGGCTTATTGTCCCTGGGCCAAATCTGGCCCACCATTGCTTTTTATGTGGCCCTCAAGATTTTAGATAAAACATTTAGTGTGCTTAAATGTTATGTTATCAATCAAATCAATGCAGTTTTTATCCTTTTACTGCCAAATTATGCCAATCAGTCCCTTCAGTTTCTTAGGAATTGTGAAGGAAATAGAAAAGATGTTCAGATGCTAAAACAGAGTTAAATTTGTTAACATGGCATGGAAACGAGGCAAAAGGTGATAAAAATCCTTTTCAGATATGAAGTCTGAGTGATCAGTTTGTTCTTTGACATTGAACAGGCCGCAGCTCAATAATCAAAGCATTCACAGATACTTTCATTGCTCATTTCATGAGTATTTTCATTTGGTCGTTTCCACAAAGCTTCTGACAAGACAAGGAGACGTTTGTTCCAGACAAAACAAATGTTCTCAAAGACTCTAAGGAGAAGCACAAAAGCAGCTTTACTTATCAATTCGCATCTACAACTTTGCACAAAGCTACACAAATTGTCAAGAACTAATAATATTAATAAACGTCTTTGTTTCCTTTGCTTCACACTCAAACAATCTGTCACTTCTGGTTGTTGTTGTTTTTTTGTTTCTTTCTTTTATCCAGCACATGCATCATTACAGAAGCAACATGCTCCACCATGTAAACAGAGTCCATAAACACGTACAGCAAATCCCATGAGCCTCACGTGTATATGCGTGTGTGTAGGTGTGTGTGTTTTCTTGCTTTGCTTGGTTTTCATAATGCGAAAGGATCTGGAGAGCAGTGTGGGAGTCGAGCGATAAGCCTGGTGTCACTGGTATCTAATCATTCTCTATGTCCCTTATCATCTCAGGGCTAAGGAGCTTGAATGAACCGTGTGGAACGAGATGAGGAAGGGAATGAAGGAAGCATGGTGAATGGGTTAGATGTAAAAGGCAATGGGAAGAGGAAAGGAATGGAGATGAGAGATGTAGGAAGGAGGACCAGAGATTTAAGGGTCTGTTGCACTAAAAGCGTATAAGAAACTGGAGCCAAGTCCCATATCCTGCTTCACCTCGCCACCCACAGACCACTCACCCACCTCATGTAAGAGGATCCCCCAACCCACTGCAAATTCTCACTGCAAATGTGTGAAAGTAGAGATGGGTGTGTGTGTGTGTGTGTGTGTGTGTGTGTGGCTATCAAGAGAGCTAAGGATGGGTGGTAATTGAATAATGACAGTCATCCTTCTGATGGATTACCTGTCACTCCTCTATCTTTGCCCCCTCCATCACTGTCATTTCTCTCTTCTTTGCCGCTTTCGCCCCACAACCTCTGGTCAACTGGCGTCCCGTCCAGGGCGTCCCTCGTGCCAGTGTAAATAAAGACACGAGCAAAGTCACACAAGGTTTTCATTTTTGTTCGTTTGCCTGTGCATCGACATGCCGTGCATACTTAGTTTCTAACTCTGACCTCTCAGAGGTGCAGCCAGTTTTGGATAAATAAAATGCATTTTTGAAAAGTGGTGACAGAACATGCAATCATTTTCTGTTTCTGAAATGACGTTGAAGTGGAGTTAATTCGACCAACAATATTTAGTATCCTAGGTCTAAATATTTCTTAGACAATATTTAGACATTATCATTTTATAGCATCATAAAATGATAATGTCTAAAAGTTACACACATTACGTGCTTGAAAGGTTTATATGGATACCACACATTTCCAGACTCTGTATGAATTGGGACGTTACCTGGTTTTCCTCACGCTCAGACATTAAATCAGACCAATCTTTCCTGCATAAAGTCAGTAAACATTATAGCAAAAAATAGTGGATGTTTTAAGATTTCTTCAAACTGAAAAACCCAAAAAAAATTAGGAAATCTGTTATGGCTTTGTAATGATTTGCTGTTAATTCACAACTTTTGAGTTAAATGGATGTGCAGCGCTGCGATGGACTGGTGATCTGACCACTGAGGTGCATGAGCACGCTGTCAGCTGTGTGTTTGTAGAAGGTTTTCACTGCTGCAATGGAAACGTTTGCCTTTTATAGCGGCATATCAATAATTTGTAAATCAGTTTTGGGTTTCCTAATATTATTTGCTTTTTTTGTTGTTTTTTTTCAGGCTGGGCATCTTGTCATTTTGCAAATCCACAAAAATGCTTGAGAACTGCTTCGACTTTCCTGAATGTTCTTCTTTTTCTTTCCATTAAAAAAAAAATGGAAACACAACAAACATGTTGTGTTTTGCTCTGTGTCCTGCTGTTTAAAGCCACCGCCCTTTTTAATATGTCAGATTGTTGCAATAAAAAAGCATGCAAATCTACACTTTTTATAACTCTTTAATCGTTCTCAGCTGAGAACTTGGGTTGCACTGAGGCTGTTCTGTTCGTGATTTTATTGTTGCGTTACAGCAAAAAGGGGAGCAGCAGGAGATCCAAGGAGAGTGATTGCAGCATTTTGCTGCAGTGCAGTTCAATCTACAGTATCTAGTTGTTGCTAAATGGTTCCACTCCATCATGTGGAGGCTTTCTCTATAGGATTAATATTGTAAATGAGGTGAAGCTCTGCCAGAAGGCATATTGAGTCTCTAGAAAGACATCTGTTTTTTTTTTGTTTTTTTTGCTGGGACCACTGATGATAATGGTTTTGTCCCTGATTTGCCAGTGAAACCTTGAGTGTGTGTGTGATAAACAGGAAGGATCATTTTTTCAGGCAAATCGGGATTGCACGACCGCTTCAGCCAGAATAGTTGTCACAAAATGAAGGGAGAATTATTTTTTCTTCATTGTTTAATTGATTGAAAAAAGGGAACGTTTGCAGCTCTACACATTCAGGCACAGATGACTTATTTACATTAAGCCGTGTTTAAAGCAGTGTCAAGAAAAGCACCAACAATACATACCCAAGTTGAAAGAAAAATAGAGCTCTTTCAAAGTCCTGCCAATGGACCAACTCTGGATGCTTCATGCAAGCATTCAAAAAGCCCAATCTGATGAGAAGGACTTCGTCCAGTTTATGTCGGAAGCGGTGGGGGAAACAAAAGCAAGTGACTCTTAAAAGGCTGAAATTTATTGACCATTCCGACTTTTGTAGAAGAGGAGACAGAGGATCAAGCAGCTATAACGTGGTAAGTGATTTTATCTGTAGTTGCCAAACTTATCTGACTTTCCCCTGTAACCAGAATCATAAATGATTACCAAAAAGACCTAAACCGACTAATGTTGAGTGACAAACCCAGCCGAGAGTGCAATCGTGTGAGTGGCTCTTTCTAACATTCAGCTACAAATTACTCATACCTCTTAAACTTTTGCTTGTTTTATTATAGTGCAATGACAAACTTCAGTTTATTTTAGGTTTATATGGCAGAGACTATATAAATTCAAAATATGTGGCACCAATTTTTGTCTCTTCTACTCAACACAATTCTATTAATCATTTATAATTAACCAATTTCGGTTGTTCTGCAATGAGGTGGTTTTCTTGTCAGATACATCAACTTTTTGCCCAACTTGTAAAACAAAATGTATGTTGGAAAACCAACATTGCACCTTAAAATGTCATCTCTCCTGTGAAGCATGGTGGTGGCGGTGTGACTTCATGGAGATGCGACAGGAAAGCCGGTCAAAGTCTAAAGGTGATCATTCTGGTTGTTGCACAAGTGTTTTTGTGCCTCCCAATCAGAAAAACTGATTGGGAGGCACAATCTCCCCACCGACCAACTAGTCATGAGGAAAGAAAATCTGGTTTCAAGGTGCAACAACTATGGACGACTTTCTTGTTTAAAGAATTTGTGCCACTCTCTGAAGGTGGCGCCATGAGTGAAGAAACATGTTGAGAGCTCTAAAAGACTTGGGAATGACAGATGTTGACCTTTTAACAGGACAATAACCTTGACATTCCAATCCTAAATCCCACTGGGATTCTGAAGCAAAACCTAAAAATTGCTGTTCACAGATGCATTCCTTTTCGTCTGACTGTGGTTCAGCTATGTTGAAAAGAAGAACGGCAGGAAGTTCAATATACCCGGGCAATATACTTGTTTATAACTGTTTTGTTTTGTTTGTTTGTTTCACTTTCCTTCCACTTCATAAATAGGCAGTGATTTTATTGGTTTTTCTCTTAAGAACCCAATAAAATCCACTGAAGTTTGTGGGCAACCTTTTATCAGAATGTGGAAAAGCTTGAAGGGCTTCATAATTTTGAATGGAATTGTACATTTTTTGTGGACAAAAAAAAAAAAAGAAAAAGAAAAACAAGCAGGCACATTTTGAAGAGTAAAAGTGTGGAAATCTTGATGATGTGAAGTAATGAAGAAATTTATTTCAGTCAAGAATCCCTATGGGGGCAATAGAAGCGACGCAAGCCTCAACGATCTTCCTCCAAATTGCATAGCGTTACAATACACAGTGTGCTGGCACGGTGAGGCCCACCATGCCAGACGTGAGAAAGCACTGATCCAAAATGGCGAGCTACACAAGCCATGGGAGAGAAGCAACCCTACCAACAGCTACACATAAACACACACGTGCACACGCATTTCTTCTATCACACACCAGCGATATAAAACACACCATATCGCCAATTAGGGCAATAGTGGCTGTGGGAAAGCGTGCATGCTTCTCCCAAGCACACACACACGCACACGCGTGCACGCACACACACACTGATACAGTAACTGAGACTCCTAATGTCAACGTTAATAGCACCCAGTTGTTCAGTGCCAGAGACGGACCCTGTGAGGAGGAGGTGAGAGGGTGGCGGTCCTGAAGCTTTGGACTAAGAAGGATGCAATTCCCCAACAGACACACAGGAGTGAAACAGTTAGCAGGATGTTTTTGTGGTGTTCAGATGATTTCTGAAGGTCAAACTCATGGGTCACTGTTTGAAAGTTTGATTTAAAACATAAACAGAGATCATCTGTAATTACCACGGGTACCAAAACTATTATATTCTACATTATTATTATGTATTTTACCCAATTATGTCATATTTTCTACCCCTTTCCCTCCCACCCCCATCTTGTTTTACAGAGTTTTTAAAAGTTGATTAGCCCGATGTTGGCTTTCCTCACAGCTGCTATGCTGGACAACACAGCAAGTTAGTGAAGGACATTGACTAAAGTGAGAGAGATGGGTGGTGAGATTCAGGAACAAAACAAATATAAAACACAAAGCAATAGAAAAAAAAATGAAAATAGTGTTAAAGCAGAGGGACACAGATGGCAGGGCGGGAAGGCAGAACACTAGCAGGGAGACAGCAGGACGGGGTGGAAGTTGATGCGCTGGGTATCTTCCCCCTCTTCCATCAGCAGAAGCCTGTTGTGGAAAAGAGCAGTAATGAGAGCAGCTGCAGTCGATACACACACACACACACACACACACACACACACACACACACACACACACACACACACACACGCACATATAAAAAGCAGAAAACACTTATCCAGCCACTTAGCCACCCACTCCTCAAAGGCAAACCCACATAAACCCGATTGTGCACACTGACGAATAGGCGGACATCATCACTCTTACCCTCACACTCGAAGGCCTGCAGTATGGTGGTGTAACTGGGGCCCAGCCAAGAGGTGTAGCTACCCAGAACTCTCTGCAGGTGGTGGGTAGCGTCGCTGAACAGCAGATCGGATTGGCCGTAGCCTGCCGAGCTGAACAGGCTGAAGCCCTCGGTGGCGTTGCCAAACACATTCTGCAGGAGAGACAGCGTGTGACAGCACTTAATGCATGAGGGCACGCATGGATGTGCGTTGGCGTGTTCTGAGAACATGTGTGGCTGAGTGATTGAGGGCATGTGCAGCTGGAGGAATGGCGCAGGACGTATCAGTCTTACACACACTCTCTTGCAAGGAAGGAAGGAGGAATGAGGATTCCCTGCTATAATCTCCACAGTGAGCAGCACAGAGCGACAATATTCACTCTGGCTACTTTTCACATTAAACCACAGTATTACTAAATTCCTAGTAGATTTAACAGCAATTTCAACCCAAACTGACCTGAGAGGCCATGAAAGTGATAATAAACTATCCAAAAACTCGTTTGAGGTGATTTAAGTTTTGTGACATCTTGCAGAAAGAAGCTATCACAAGATAGGTACTCTGGTCATAAAGGAAGGGCATTGTCAGCAACAATCTACGACACCGTGGAGCTTAAAAGACACTTAGTTGGTACCGAGGGCCCCAAAGAGTGATAACAAAACACCCCCAAACCATTAAACTACTTTCAGTCTTAACTGCTGTCACAAGGCAGATTGGATCCCAAGATTCCTGTGGTTAAGACCAGAGCTTACCTAACCTGCATGTTACTGTTGAAATCAAGATCCATTTGACCAAACAACATTTTTACCGGTTTGTTATTGTCCAATTTTTTTCTGTTTTTAAATTACCCAAGTGGCACCTATTAGGATGTTGTGTTAGAGTGGCTCATCTGGTTCAAGGTTCAGACAGTTGTAATGAGTGGCTATTTGAGGTTTTGTTGCCGCAGCATCTCAAAGTCTCCCCTGACCTCAACAAGGCATTTTCATCCACACAGCTGCCCCTCAAGAGATGTTTTCTCTCCTCAAACCATTTTCTTTTCCGTTTTGATGCTCAGTTTCAAGTCCAGCAAGTCCTCAACATCACATGAGACTCAAAATGCATTGAGTCGAAGCCATGTGACTTGGCTTATTCGTTAATTCTGTTGCAAGCCGTTGAACAGGTTCCCCCCCATACAGTGGCTGGCGAGTGCCTTTAAGGGGCGTAACACCAACTAATACTGATAGCTGATGCGTTTCACCTGTAAACGCTCCAGGTATTTCCAGACGCGGCACTTATCCTCCACTCGCACCACAACGCCATTGGCGGGGACAGCTGACAGGTGGCATCGCAGATACTCGTCCAGACCTGCCTCTGTCCCATCTGGACACAGCAGCTTAAGGTCCTCCAGCTCCAAGTCCAAGGCCCAGGATTCCTGATTCTTGCCTGACCAAAAGGGAGTGCAAAACTGAGTTTAGTTTTCTTTAAAAAAAAAAAAAAAAAAAGCTGGAAATACTGATGAATATTTACATTTGTATTTCTTACTGGTCAAGATCTATGTTTTGATTGGAAAATTTCCAATTTACCTCCTTGAACCTAAAAAAAATGAACCTTTCCACATCCAAACAGATGTTTTTGTAAAAAAAGAGGTAGACTATCTTGATGCTGACTTCTCTCTAGACGTCAGGCTGGGCCTTCTGTGCTCTCCTGACCTGCCCTAATTGGTGCCACTCTGGACCTTGCTAAAGCATATGATGCAGCAAGCTTCGTTAAACAGCTGCAGTGTTCGTGGAGCCGGAGCCAAGCTGCTCCTTCTCGTCTACCAGCAGAGTCTGTGCAGCATGACTGTGATAATGATCACCATTAATTTTGGATGTTGCCCAAAGCAAAGCAGCAGATGCACCAAGCTGAGAATTAGGATGCTATTGCTGGACAGAAAAATGCTTGGACATCTGTTTGTTATGATATCATTTCTCTCTTTTTTTTGTTTAATTCCTGTTTTTCATCCATCTTTCTGTCTTTATAAATCTCACAGGGAGACATATTGATGTGCCTCGCTGAATTTCGGTGAAATTTTCTCATTTATTCTGGATTGCAAACAGTTTTAAAAAGCAGGAATACTTTGTGCCGCAATGACATCTTGTGTCTGGTTTGGGTACTACAAGCCCAGTTGGATTCGGGCAAACACCAGCACTGTTTCATCACCGCTTCAAGCATTTTTTTTTACTCTTACCATCCGAATTGTCAAAGACTGTTGTGTGTTTGACAAACGCAACATCACCGAGGTTCTCAGCAACACACCTGAAAGGGGAAAAACAGTTGAACGCACTTAAAAATCTGTAGCAACATATGAACAGACTTTTATTTGTCTCAAATTCAGTAGGAATGGTAGGGGAGGTGATAAGCATTCCTCCCTATGACCTACAACAAGCAACAAGTCCAGACATGTTGCTAAAACAATAGACTTTCCTCCCTACCATCACAAACTTGAAGGTGTTGAGTTCCCTTAACTCTTCTGGTTATTTACCTGCAACGTTTGGCTATGAAGAATCCAACTAAATTTGGCTTCAACGTATAGAAAACCACATCATGCTAAGTGTAAGGCCATGAATGCCTCCCTTGGTATACATGCCAACTGTATGCCCAGGGGGGCATCTGTAATGATGCATGCTTGTTTCTACTCACTGAATAAACCCAGCAAACCCTGAAATACCAGGATATTATGAAGAAAAATATGATGAACTAAACTAGCAAACTCTTGTGTTCCGGAGCTTACAAAAAATCAGAACTCTGCATAATGTAAGTGTGTCCAACAAGCCAAATCACCACAAAACATGGGTCACTCTTTAAAATGACTTGGAGATTTCTGCAAAGTTTCATGAAGGGGTGTGCCAAAGTCTGGTATTGAAAGAACCCATCTCCAGGTGTTGTTGGTGGGTTATTGGTGAAGGAGTTGTACCTCAGGGCCCCTGCCTCTCCGTAATGTCTCTCCCTGTGATTGTTGGCACAGATGTGTCTGTCGTTCTCATCTCCTATACATGCTTCACAGAGGTTCTTCGGGTTGTTGCCTCGGGGATCGTGCAGAGAATCCTTAATGCCGGGCACACAGCTGTAACCAAAAAAGTTCCCCACCGCTGGCAGGAGAAGTGGAGAACAAGTCAGCTGAAATTAGACACTGCAATGTTGTTTTTGCTAATTTTTTTTTTGTTTTTCTTATGTCAAATTAGTGATCAGTATTTGCCATTTATAAAGCAGCTGCATATTTAATGTTATGTGATTACATTTAAACTAAAGTCCAAGGGCAATTACGTGAATTACACAATAAGGACACAGTTTTTATGGTAATTAAATCTTCCTGTCTGTTCTTTAAGAGTGTTTTTGAGCGTTACATCTCATTCCCACACTTCCACATCCCACCTCCATCCATTCTGCTTCCCCCACTTCCTGCCTCCCAACCTCTCAAATACCTTCCACGCATCAGCGTACACCAACACACACTCATGCGCAGCCGTCATGCTTGGCTTCACCTTTGGGGAAATTGCACTGCTCTCCTACGCTGATTTGGGATGTGTTAACCAAGTAGCCGATGGGAACCGTCCAGCCCACCGTGGTACGGACGCCGGGGTGACAGGAGCTGCGCTCGTGCATCTCCAGCAAGGACAGGTCTGAAGAGGAGCGGCGGGCCATTGCCACCACGTAGTAGCTGATTCCATCTGGAATGAGGCGGTTGGAAGCACGTCAAAACAGGAAATCAGAATTAAGAAACCAATCGATGAGGCAGAGATTGCAATTAGCTGGTTTTGCATTGGAAAATTATCAGATTTTTTTTACCTCCATTTGTTGAATGCATCATATTTAAAATTATAGAACATTTTTCATTTTTAAATACATTAATTATTAACTTGCATGCACTTGGTTTAGTTAAATATCAATTTGATATATTTTTGGAGACATGTTCTTGGATAAAAGACACTCTGAAGTTTCTGTTGAAGTCTAAAGTACTAACCCAATCAACAAATCTGCTTGTTACTTTCAAAAATCCTTAGTATGAAATAAATCAAACTGGCCAAAGTCAAAATCGTTCTCAGTCACAAAAAGCCTGATCAATGCATCTCTACCAAATATTGTACTTCTACTGGAAACATAAATGTTGATACATTTGGGCAAAAATCCCTAGTGAGCTAATTGTACTGAGTGCTCCAACATGTGGCTTACCTACTCCATTATGAGACTCTCCTGCTGCAAGCGCCAGGCCATGGCAGAGACCCGCAGCGTAGATATCATCTGCAAACATCGAAGCTGCATCTGCTGTGCCGTTCTGAGAAAACAGAGACGACTTCATGTAGCCTACTAACATACAACTAATAACTAAATGCAAAAATAATGTCAAATATATATATATGTATATATATATGTGTGTGTGTATCATATAAGAAACAACACATCTTATTGTATATGTATTGCAGTGTTATTTTTCACCACATTGTGAAAACTGTAAATAATATTTAAAGAATTCAGTCAAAATGGTTGCTGCGTATTTTTCACTGTTAGAAATGTTTTTTAAAACACAGGTATCCTGTTTCCATCTTTGTGTACCTTGATTTTCTCCATGCAGTCTCTGGTGCTCACGCCACGGACACACGCCAGCGATCCCCTCACATTCCTGGCCGTGGCATTGCCGGCTAAGTCCAGGCACTTCTGCTCCTCGGCGTCCGACAGCACGCACCAGGAGACTGAATCAGAGAAGATTTGTCACTTTTTCCTCCCCACCCGTTAAAGCAAGATCACATGAAAATGTCTGTATTCTCGAGAAACAAATGTTCCCTGTAAGCCTTCGACTGGCGCACCTGTAGTTTTCTGACTGGAGATGCAGTTGACGCTCAGAAGATGCAGCAGAAGAAGGAAAGTCACAGCGAATCTTCTCTCCATGTCGACTCTGGTCTGAAAGCGGCTGAAGAATGATTCTGTAGTTCAGTAGAGATGAAGACCAGGTGGGATTCATTGGTTAGAAAAAAAAATAATTCAGCCCCCTCCCTCTCACATCACCTCACCACAGAGAGAGGAGGTAAGAAACAGGGGAATGTCGTGGGGAGATTGGATGTAGAGAGAAGAAAACATTATATTATTCCCCCATCCTTGACTATCAAGTCTAAGTTCTCATTAGATAATCCTTACCTCCATCTCTCGACAGTGGTGTCGTGTTTCTTCCTCCAATTATCCACTAAGATTTAAGCCCCATAGACACCGTTTTGGTTGGCTCATGTCGTCGCAGCAGCTCAGGTCTCCTGGCACAGAGACTCGAGCAGGGGTCTTTAATTAAAAAAAAAAAAAAAAGCAGTGGACAATGCATCTTTGTGCCGGAGCGGTGTTCGTGGAGAATAGATACTGAGTAGGTCCTGCTCCAACTCACCAGAGTACACAGCTCTAAGAAAGGAAGAACAAACAGCGTCTGCTGTTGTTCATGCCCAGCAGACCCAGAGAAGGGAACACATATCACCTACTGGAGACAATTTAACTATTTTACTCACATCTAACAACGTCCAGTCACATGAAAACACATATAAATTAAATCTGTTGGGAAGGAATGCAAAACTGAATCTTCTGGGTCAGTTTTCAGTTGCGATTTAAATTTCATGGAGATTTAGAAAGATGTTTTGCAACAATTATGGCAGCAGGCCTCCACTAAATGTTTCCAAAATGCCTTGAGTCCTGCTGGAATAAATGGAGCTGGTCTCTGAACAGCAGTTTTCAAACCACGCCCGCACATTGTCAGTTTCTGAACTTTGACTGGGCCGTTCTACCGCATGAAATTGCTTTTGATTTAAACCTCTGTGTTTAGGGCGACTGTTTCGCTGGAAGGTGAACCTCCATCCCCCAGTCGACGATATTTTACAGCTCCCAACAGGTTGTCCTCAAGGTTTATTCTCTGTTTAGCTCCATTTAACTTCCCCGTCCTTACCAAAGAAAAGCTTCCCCACAGCATTGGCTCAGGACATAAAGGCTCATCTGGCCCTCGGGAACCATTTAAAGCCTATAAATACTCCACAAGAACACAGAGGTTTGTGTTCTCCCTTCCAGGCCTGAAAGAACAAAATGACGTCTTTCTGTCCCGTAGCCCGGTTTCAGCATTCTCAAAGCTTCTTGTTGACTCAAAACCAGGGCAGAATCATTTCTAATGTGGTGTCTGAAAAAAACAGACATTTGCTGAACTGACAAATAAGGGCTCTGGAAGAGTTCTGCATTTGAGCAATTCACTTTATTCTTCCTTTATTCCACCACACAGCATTCAGACTCAATCAGACTTAATAAAAAACTGATTGTTTTATCATCTTGAAGTGAAACGATCTAGAGGGTACTTTTGTTTTGCCTTATTAAGAAAAAAAAACCAAATGGAAAATGCAGAGAGAAAGTCTTAAAACTGCGTGACAAACTGCTTTTCAACCATAGTTCAACATTAGCTACCAAATCATTATTTCATATCATTGTTTAACAATGCAAAACTCCATTTCCAACCTTTAGCTTCTTACTCACATCCGTCATCAGCCACACTCAGGAGCAGTTGCCATGCACCTGCCTTGTTTCACATACAAACACACACACAGATTCACTCAGTATAGTTCACGTTCTCACAAGTGGCTACTTCTAGCTAGCAAACGTGTAATTTTACAGTCAAAAGAGTAAATAGGTTTCTAGAGTTACTTCATAGCAGGATTCTGCTGCTGCCACCACATTTCACTATGCTGTGTTTGGAGTTCTGTGTTGTGTTTTAGATTTCCACCACAAGCAGGCCTTCGCATTTGGGCCACGAAGTGCAAGTTTGGTCTCATTTGACCAGATCAACTTCCTCCCCATGTTTGGCATGTCCCACTTTCATTCTACAAAGGGAGTCCTTGTTGCTTCTCCTCAGTTTCCTCTCTGATCCGGCCGCCGTGTTCCTCGGTCTTCATGTTGCTGTTAGTTCTCTAACCAACCTGTGGTACCTTCAGTGAGCAGCTGCATTTCTACTCAGATCACATTAAATCAAAATTTACAAAAAAGAGGGAAAAAAAACATGCCGTGCATTACATAAAATTCAGATTTAAATCGATGAAGTATGTCGTAAGGTGGGAAAATATAATTTTAATTTGAGCAACAGGGACATATCAAAGGAGAGATTGTACAAGCTGCAACACACCAACAACCAGATCCTGATATAACCAATAAAACCAGAGATTTTGCCAGTGCACTGGTATTATGTGCCAGTATACTGGCACAAAACATCCAACACTGCACTTTTCCCCCTGGAGAAGAAACACTGGAAGACTGGAAGATATTTTTTCCAGTAATCTGTATCTTGTCACACACACACACACACACACACACACACACACACACACACACACACACACACACACACACACACACACGCACACACACGCACACAGACACAAACACACACACACCCACGCACG